TTCAGGATTTCAGCAGCATCGGAACCACCAGGCGTCGCAACGTCCTAAAAACCGAATGCCGAACCGGCCTATTGCTTGGAAGCTGCCACCATGGCCGGCTCATCTCCCTGGTAGAGACGAGTGGAAGCGTTCGGAAACCCTCTGGGGCGCCGGCAGCCTCCGCAGCAGCAGCTCTCAGCTCGGGATTTCTGCTGCAGCACATTCAGGAAATATGCCATTTCCACTGCTAAGTGCAACCCGTAAAGCCTGAGAGAGCTGCTTGTCCAACGCCAATGCCTCCCCGCTTAACCCCCTCCTCCGCTGCTGCACACCGGAGGGCGACGACAGTACCTACACAACAACGTCCAAAACAAACAGGCCCGCCACACAGGCCCAGGAGGGCTCGTAAACTGCTTGCGGTTCACCAAATTCTTCAGCATGTGCCACACAACCAAAACACGACCTACGTGCCAAGCCTACGCCAACAATGTGCAAATTAACATAACAGAGGATCAAACATTTAAAAGGAGACATAAAAAAAAAAACAATCCACAGCGAATGGAAAAACAACAACTCGGGAACACAAGTGCCACGGCTGCTATTCTTCTAAATCGGATGAGGGAAGGAGTATAACGCTGACCATACACATCCCCAGCAATTTCAAGCAGCTTACAATCGCAAGACTCAAGGCAACCTACCAAACGCCCCAGCCAAATATTCAAATGCAGAAACAGCGATTGGCCGACTGGGTTTCATCATCGAAAGCTGCTAAGACCGGCCTTTGTCTGCGAATGGGAATGAGTGCCGTGGAAGTATGTTCACCATATTTTCTTATCGGAGATAAGGTTTCCTCTGCCGGTATGTGATAGCGAAGCCTCATACGCCAAGTATCGCCCGCCCATCAATATTTCATGTCATTAACCACAGAGGTGCAGGAGGGAGAGGAAATAAAAACTAGAATATAGGGGAAGATGTCACCAATATGATTACCAAGCACTTGTAACTAAAGATCTCTAAACCAGATACAATTCATTCTGAAGGTGCCACACCAGATACAATTCATTCTGAAGGTGCCACACCAGATACAATTCATTCTGAAGGTGCCACACCAGATACAATTCATTCTGAAGGTGCCACACCAGATACAATTCATTCTGAAGGTGCCACACCAGATACAATTCATTCTGAAGGTGCCACACCAGATACAATTCATTCTGAAGGTGCCACACCAGATACAATTCATTCTGAAGGTGCCACACCAGATACAATTCATTCTGAAGGTGCCACACCAGATACAATTCATTCTGAAGGTTCCTCACTAGATACAATACAACGTGAAGGTGCCACACTAGATACAGTACGTGAAGGTTCCTCACTAAATACAGTACGTGAAGGTTCCTCACTAGATACAATTGAAGCTGAAGGTTCTGCACGCGTTACTATATATGTATCCCCGGTTTGTTCTGTATCTGCGATCATTCATTGGCTGCAACAAGTACAGCTGAATTTCCTGATCGGGTCGAGCGGAATATCATTAGAAGAGTTGAACTTCCCTCTTCACCCAAACGAATTGTAACGTCTGAGAGTTTTGCTTACACAATCATTACTAACTTGACTGTAATATGCTTAACCAGTCCGTGTGGTCAGGGTAGGGGTGCCCGTGTGGTCAGGGTAGGGGTGCCCGTGTGGTCAGGGTAGACAGTCTACATTACCCAGTATGCCAGTGCAGACATCTGCTCGGAGGACAGGAGGTGACCCCTATATATCTGAAGCCCAGGTCAGCCAAACAAGGGTTGGGCAGGAGGTAATCACAACACATCCACAGATCAGGTCAGCCAGTCAGGGGAGACCAGGAGGAACCCCCTATGCTTTCACATCCCTGATCTGACAATCCGTAAGACCAGAGGTGACCCTACAACTTCCAGGGGGGCTACAGGAGGTGGGGTGACCTCAATATATCTTGAGCCCTGGTCAACCAGCAACAGGGAAGACAGAAGGTGTCCCCAATATATCCAGTGCTCAACAACTCCTGGGGAGGATGGAAGATGACCTCAACCTATCGAGAGCTATGGTCCAACAATCAGGGGGAGGCCAGGAGGTGACCCCACCATATTTCCACAACCCAAGTCAGCCAAACAAGGGGCAGCGACTACAGTGTCTTCACCAAACCAGAATGAGAGTTTAAAGGCAGTTGCTATTGGAACTGGACCCCATTTTAAATTGGGCCCCCCAGCCTGGGGAGATGACCCCACAGAACTCCCAGACACCACACATTGCCCATGGGCTCCCTCTGGAATGCCCATCTCAAGGAGTGATGAGGGGAATGGACCCAACTGTAGGACTCCAGTTACCAGCAGATAGGGGCCTGGGGCAACGTACAATATCAGATCAGTCCATCAGGGGTCAAGACAGGGCAGAGGGCAGCAGGTGAGGGTACAGAAGGGAAAGCCACAAGATAGGGTACAGTACCAGCAGGGGGCACCCCCAGGGCAGGGTACAGTTACCAGCAGGGGGCACCCCCAGGGCAGGGTACAGTACCAGCAGGGGGCACCCCCAGGGCAGGGTACAGTACCAGCAGGGGGCACCCCCAGGGCAGGGTACAGTTACCAGCAGGGGGCACCCCCAGGGCAGGGTACAGTACCAGCAGGGGGCACCCCCAGGGCAGGGTACAGTACCAGCAGGGGGCACCCCCAGGGCCAGCAGGGGGCACCCCCAGGGCAGGGTACAGTACCAGCAGGGGGCACCCCCAGGCCAGGGTACAGTACCAGCAGGGGGCACCCCCAGGCCAGGGCACAGTACCAGCAGGGGGCACCCCCAGGGCAGCAGACTGAGGGTAGTCGGGGCAGTAGTTGAGGGTCCAGAAGGGGCACCCGGGGGTCATACCTGGTTGAGGTCCTCGTCGGACAGGAGGTGGGACTCCCGAGGCTTGAAGCAGTTCTGACATTTGCTCTTGTTGAAGATATTGGCCTGGAACTTCTTGCACGGGTTCTCCTTCCCCGACATGGCGCGGCCGAGGGGTGATGATGATGGTGGGGTAGGTGACAGAGTGCTGAAGACTAGGGGCCCTCCCCCATCATTCGGGTGGCCACACTCACATCCCTGACCGGGGCAGCTCCGCTCTGCTAGTCCCGGCCGCTCTCCGCCGCTCACTTCCTGCACCTTCACCCCTCAGATCAGCCCCAATTCCTGCACCTTCACCCCTCAGAAAGGAAAGGAAATTTCTGCAAAGTGAGGGGACTGTTGTCACAGGAAGAGGCGCCCCATTTGAAGAGTTATCCTCTTTTCCAGTTCTGGTGACAACCTAATTTTTTTTCCATATTTTAATCTCAGTGGCAACCAGTGGTCACCAGGACAAATAGAAAGAGTGATTTCCCCCAGCGGGAGACAGACACAGCAATAAAATATATGGAGGTGCTACGCCTTCCGTGCTTCATCCACAGAAAAGTTTTGGCTTTAGATACAATTTAAGTATTCCATAAATACATAAAACGGATCATTTCCCCCCGGTACATGTTAGCACATCTATAAGTACATTTCCCATCTCTGTTTATTTTGGGTTGGTTAAGCACTTAATCATTTCAGCGGTGCGCCACACAAGCGCACCGTTATGGCAATACGCTGTGCGCCAAACGAGCGAATGATGGCTTAGATCACGGACGGTAAATCTATTTGTCTCGGAAAAGAAAAATGGTGAGTCACCCCAACCGTGGAAGAGATGTGTTTATGTTTCCGAGCTGTGAAATATTGTTCTCTTAGCGATCGTTTCATGACGCTGTCCTCCTCGCACTCAACATCTGGTACATACGCACAGATCACCGTTATGATTCACACGGTCACGTGACCTCTGCAGATATAAAAAATTAAAAAAAATTTTTTCCCCCAGGAGAGCCGACAGGAACAGAAATTGTTCTCTGGAAAGAAAAGAGTTTTGAAGAGTGTGCAGGATACTGAGCATGGCCTCTTACCGCAGGAATCTCCATTAGGCCTCATTCACGCGAGAAATGGCCGTCACGTACAGCTCCGTGCTGCGTGCACGGCCTCCCGGGAAGGACAGGTGCTGCATGTGATTGGTACGCAGCCCCTCTCCCTCTCCATACGCTGCCCTACGCTCACCCCACGTGCAGGTCCGTACGGGTGCGGGTGTCCCGGCTCGGACGCAGACAGGATCCATCCTGTCAGCGTATGAGTACGGGCACCCGCACCCTCACGGACGTGCAGGGCGGGTGAGCGTAGGGCGGCGTATGGCCGCATAGTCCCATAGAGAAGGACAGGGGCTGCGTACCAATCACATGCAGCACCTGTCCTTCCCGGGAGGCCTTGCACGCAGCAGCGGGCCGTTTCTCGTGTGAATGAGGCCTTACTGGAAACAAAATGGCGCTTGTCTTGCCTTAGGCTGGATTCATGTAAAAACCTTTTGTATGTTTTATTCAAGTCTGAGTTATGTTTTTACAAAGGTAATTTACCTGCTGTTGAAAAAAGTGTGGGGATGCTGGACCAGGTCTGAGAAGAACAGATGTTCGGTCAAGTTAGGTGCTGAACCCCATCCAACCCATGAGGCCTCACCTTAGCTATGCAAATGCATTCACCCCTGAAGCTGCATGGCTGGACCCTATGGCACGGTCATCATCTGAAAGGAAGGTTTGAGAATTAGATGTTAAAGTGCTGCCCTCCCCTCACACTAGCAGCATGCTACGTACCATCCATTACAACAGAGAAAAGCTTTATGTCCTGTACCTGTCTCTTGTTTACTGTGTATGATGAGAGATGAATGTCTCCTGCCTTCTGTATATGATGAGAGATGAATGCCCCCTGCCTTCTGTATATGATGGGAGATAAATGTCTCCTGCCTTCTGTATATGATGAGAGATGAATGCAGAGATGAATGCCTCCTGCCTTCTGTATATGATGAGAGATGAATGCCTCCTGCCTTCTGTATATGATGGGAGATAAATGTCTCCTGCCTTCTGTATATGATGAGAGATGAATGTCTCCTGCCGTCTGTGTATGATGAGAGATGAATGCCTCCTGCCTTCTGTGTATGATGAGAGATGAATGTCTCCTGCCTTCTGTATATGATGAGAGATGAATGCCTCCTGCCTTCTGTATATGATGAGAGATGAATGCCTCCTGCCTTCTGTATATGATGAGAGATGAATGTCTCCTGCCTTCTATGTATACTGTTTGCCTCCTGCCTCCTGTACATGCTGAATACTTTCTCTAGCGACTCTTTTCTCTTCATTTAATATCACGATTAAGCTACTGACAATGGTCTGTGCTGATCTGGCCTTATAACACCAATGGACCCAAGGTACCCTTCCAATTTGTTATCCCCGATAGTCCCAACTTTTTTGGGAAACCCATGGCATTCACAAAGTATCTTCTTTGGCAGAAGTCAGAATGACATCCGTATTGCTGAGCGGCCTCCATAGTGATGGTTCTTATAACTACATAGTGGCATTTCCACCAATTCCATTGTAACTAAGGGGAGATCTTCACCTGCCGGAGAGTTCTCGGCATCAACAAGGGCGACGTTTAACACACAAAATGTTTATTGTCTGCTCCGATGCCGTTTGTTTCTCGAACACTTTCCTCTAGCTGTGTTATTAGTGCAGCCGGGCTCATTAGGAGAACAAAGCATGGAGTTGTTTTAGGGAAGGTTTAATTATAGATGCCCGCTACATAGAAATTAGCACCTACCCAGCAAGTTTGCGCTTCATGTGTCAAAAACAAAATCATACTATGAACATAAACCAAAGATTAAAGAGGACGTAAATCCTGGCTAGATGATATCAACTTTGATAAAGCACCGTGCATCATTAACTATTGCCTTTTATTTAAAGGAGAACTCCAGGGTTTAGAAAAGTTAACCCTTGAAGTGGCGCTTCCTTGCAGCTCACCGGATCCTGGGTCCTGCGGCGGTGACCGCTCACTTCTCTCCCCCCCCTTCTCTGACCGTGTGCTGACATCACAGGTCCTTAGACTGCCGGAGCCCGGGAGAGAAGAGGTTGCAGCAACCGGTCTAGCAGCTAGGCGGGACTCAGGATCTGGTGAGTATATCTTCTTTATTTTCGCTCCCTAGACCAAAAGGAGCAGTTAACCTTTGCAATGTGGGGGTAGCCCTACTGCAAGGGTTAACTTTTCAAAATCCCGGAGTTCCTCTTTCACAAAATACACATTGCTGCTTATCTTCTCCATTTCCTGTCTACATGCACTCATGGGCTATGCCTGCGCAATGTTTGTTGAAATGGCCATTGGTAGATTCCAGTGGAAGACCATGTGACAGGCTGACAACGCAGGAGCACAATTGGGGGACATGGACAGAGCGCTGTCACCCCATAATAGGAACACCGGATATTATTTTAATGAAAGCTGCAGTTGTAAAAATACTGATGGGTCTCTCCTTCTGCACTTCGGGTCGGCCGAACATGCTGAGCATGTTCGGCCGACCCGAAGCCACTCGAAGCAAGCCGATGTATGGCTGAAATCAGCCGTACCAGCCTGAAGTGAATAGCCAAACAGTGTTCGGCTCACTTCACTTCAGATCGGTAATTCACTCGGCTGCCCTCGGCAGCTTCGTGAATAGACCCCTGAAAGTTACATCTGAAATTACATCAGCGTCTTACAAATGGCATCAAAGGCACCTTTAGAAATGTTCAGTAATAGCATTCTACAAACAGATACTTAGGGCTTCATTTATTACATTTATGCCGCCTTCGCACAGCATTAGCGCCACTGGATAGGAAAATCCTGTACTCATCAGAGCCATCTAGGGTTGCTAGACCCGTGCAAATGGCAGGCAGAATTTATTGATTAAGTCCTTATAGATAAGGCTTTTTATTCTTTGTACACCTTATTTTTTTCCTCCCCATTCTTCTCATAGCGGCCATTTTCACTAAGGGCAGATGAAGCCATCGCCTTTACTTCCTGTAACTCTGGATCTGCCTCCTGGAACATATGGGGAGCTAACAAATGCCTCCCCCCCCCCCAAGATCTCCTGAAATGTTTCAGTCTACAGATGAGATTTCCCTGGAAGGCACTGGTTATGTTCCCAGTAGGGATCCACCGATACTACCAGTATCAGTATCAGTGCCGATACAGAGTATTTGGGTGAGTACTTGTATTCGCCCAAATGCTCTGATTCTTACCCCCATATAGCGGAACTTCCGGTGCAGCGAGGGAGCATGGAGCCGGCTTTGTTTCCAATCAAGAAGGTGGGTGGCGGGTCATGACCCGCCTCCCGGCTTTTTGATTGGCTAGGAAGCTGGCTTCACCTCTTGCTAGGCAGCCTGGCTTCCTGACCAATCAGGAAGCCGGGTGGCACGTCATGACTCGTCACCTGGCTTCCTGATAATCTGGACCTGCGGATGCCGGTGTCGCTATTTAGTATCGGCAAGTACCGGGGAAAAAAAATATCAATACTCGTACTCAATACCGAAAAAACGGTATTGGTGCATCCCTCTTGTCAAATACAAAAATCGTATCCTTGCCGTGGAGCTACCCCGGCACTACAAGGGTTAGGTGCTGGTTTTGCCTAGGGGGCTCAATAATCAGACATACTTCTGATCCTGCGGCGGTCGGTACTCACCAATCTCTCGCTCTGCTCTAGCTATGGAATGTCCCTGGGCATCCTCACGTCCAATGCAAGTCAATGGACCTGCATAGGACACAGTGACATCAGCAGTACTTGGACCACCGGAGCCCGACGGAGAAGAGGCTGCAGGGACTGGTCTAGCAGCTCAGAGGGACCAAGGATCAGGTGAATATATCTGCTTTATTTGAGCCCCCTAGACAGTGCTGTGGTATCCCCACTGCAAGGGCGAGTTTTTTATTTTACCCGGAGTACTGCTTCAGCCATGCAGTTTTTTTTATAATGTAGGTTTCGAGTTAACACAAAGTTGGTCTAATCTTGTCATTATGGGCCACATATGTATCCAGCTGGTCTTCTGGGGGAAACTTTCCAGCTCACACAATATCAAATTCAAGCCCCTGGCGCAAAGCCTGATGCGAAGCTCTCCGTTGTGTACCAGCTGCGGACCGAGGCACCTGTTCTGTGTAGCAATGTCTTGCCCCCTCCTTCACCCGCAGCACATGCATGCCACCCAGCAAGCGCCTGAAATATTATTATTTTATCTTGCGAAAGGCAAA